ACATAATTGTAATTTTAAAATTAAAACGTTATGAGTCAGTGGAATACAATTTAAAACATTCAAATCATAAAATATAATAATTAATTATTACACTTAGATAATATAGTAAACTATACAACAAATTCATCATAGCAAGGTACAAAATTTATAATGGTTAAGTTGGTATCTCAAATATCACACAAAGAAGCTGATTAAGTATTAAGACCATACAATTCTACTACCATAGATTTTTTTCCAATATTATTATTATATAGGTATAATTTTATATAATGAGTGTAATATAAAATATATATGTACATTGTAGGTATATTATGTTTAGCAGTTTAAAAATGTTGTAAAAAAATCAAGCACAAACATTTTATAAGAATATGTAGAAAAGATACATATATTTACTTCTTTAATTAGCTAAACCAATATAATAAAAGTAATAACTACTAAACAACTAACACAGAATGAGAGTAATTTAAGTTTAACTATAGATAAACAAATGTATACTTATTAGTATAAATGGTGCTCGTCTAATATGCTACCTACCATAAAATGGTATCTACCAAAAAACTGTATGCGTGTAGTATGCTACCTACCGTAGCTATTTTTATTTAATTTCATTTTATTGCGGGAAAGTACATTTGAGTCATTACGATAATTAATAACATATTATAACAGTTGTACAAAATTATAGCTTATAATAGCCACTATGATAACTTTACTGATCCACCAAGTCCCATGGGCCATGACAACTTACTTTTAGATATATTATTTTAGTCTGTGTTGTGTTTGGGTATGTGTAATATTCGTTGTGAGTTATGCAAATTTTTATGTGATGCTGACGATATTGATGATGATTATTCAACTCAAAAAAATTACGGTACTCGCATTCAAGGTCCATGGATTTTTGATGTGTTAAAAAAATTTTGATGGGGTTCTAGAACAATCAATTTTTTTAAGTGGAAAAAAGAGATAAGGCAACTTTATTACCAATAATACCAAATAAAATAGAACTAGGATCAATTATTTATTCAGATCAATGGCGAGCATACAGTACATACCTTAAAAGATATAAACTAACATCATAAAACCATCAATCATTCCGAGTTTTTTGTTCATCCTACAACAGGCGCACAAACACAAACGATCGAATGTATATGGAGACATGTCAAAACTAAATCCTGAATTAAAACCCGAGGAGCAACAGACAGGTTAGACTGACAATTAAAAGAAGAATGGTGGCGGTCCATTAATACGCAACACGACTTATCAGAAGTTTTCTGGGATGACCGATGATGTAAAAATAATATACAATGTATAATAATATATAATGACCAGGGCTCGTAAGTTCATGCATCTGCATGTTTTTTTTGCTACACAGGAAAACATGCTAACTGTGATACAAATCCGTTTCATAACAATAGTAATAATAATATGAAGTTTGATAGTGCATGTTTTTGCATGTTTTGGGTGTAAAGTCATATTTGGCATATAGTTGATTTTTTACAGTCATTAGTGCATATTATTTCATAAAAATATTTTTTAGACAAATATTTGAAAAGTTTTTTTCCGATTTTTGATATCTTGTTCCAATCGTCCAATATCGCATGGTAAATTATAACGGTTTTTTAAATTTTTTATTGATTAATTATTTAGCTAATTAATAAAAATATCGAAAATCGGGCTTCTTACTATTGTAAAAAAAGTTCTACTCTACAATTTTTATAATAGGTATTTTTACTGTAAACTACTTCAATAAACCGTATTACTTGAATTACGAAACCATGGTTTTATGCCATATTTTGTCAACTAGTGCGCCCTCTTAAGTTGGAAAACATAAAAAATACACTTATAAAATATATATTACTAAATTATCTCAAAATGAAAAACCTAATATTTAATTCCAAATGTTTTCATTGTTGGTGCTGAATAAGGGTGTACACAAATTAGACAAAAATGACTACCTAAGTCCTAATTAAAATTTATAAAGATGTCAAAGCTATTTGAACTTCACAAGTATTAATTTTATTTTTTATTTTATTAATGTTGACTGTTAAATATATACAAATAAAAAGGAATAAAATACTTTTAAAATGTATGGATTTATTCTTATTATTTGAAAATTTGGTCATGTTTTTTTTACATAATGCATATTTTGAGTTCATAATTTAAAAATGTGAAGGCATATAAATGCATATTTTCGAACTTTTAAGTGCATATTTTAATGCATATTTTGACAATTTTTAGTGCATGAATGCATGCTTACTTATGCATTTTTTAGTGCATGAAGTTACGAGCCCTGATAATGACATATAGAAATATTACAAAGTACTTGACAACAATAAATTAATAAATTATTTAGTAAAAAACTGTTATTAATATTGTTGTCACTTTATTATTAATCGATAATCAGATAACGTTTTGTGGTAGGCATCGTTATAAGATAAGTAGCATACTACACCAACGAAGTAGCGGTAGGTAGCATATTAGACGAGTACCGTATAAATTAATTACCAGGGTTATTTATAAAAAAGATCCCAAATAACCACTACTACTACAATATTATCTATCTAACTTTTAAATTTTAAGCTTGTGTAAGGAAGCTTTGATTTAAGAACAAAGGATTTTTTTATTTGAATACTTAACTAAAATTACTTGAATTTTGTTTTATATTGTCAAAAATATACAAAATTATAGTTTGAACTAAATTACTGAAAACATTTTTCAGTTTTAATACAGTTAAAATATGGTACATTTTTTATTGAATAACATATTTTTAAATAACTTCCGAAATGTTAAAATATGTAGAAGTATATACAATATGTTTTAATAATGGTTTTGTTTTCTTAATATTAGTTAATTGTTTTTTTATAATACATTTTAAATATTGAGCTATAGACAAACAATGGTCTCCATCTCTAAGCCATACATCCGATCCTGAGAATAATATTATTTTTATTGTTTATATGTTAAAAAAGTTAGTTAAATACAAAAAAAATTACAAATTTGGTAGGTAGTAGAATGTTGGGTATAACTTTATGTTTTATTATAACTACCTATTATATTGTTGAAAAATCTTATTATAAATATTGGCCAGATTACATTTATTAAACAAGGATATTAAATAATTATATTTTTAAAAAAAACTTTATAGTTTATAGCCTACACATTGTATTAACAAGTTTGATGTACCCTGAATTATATCATATTTACTACAAAAAACTAAAACAAAAATAATATTAATCATGAATAATTAGTAGGTATTCAAAAGTTTTTACTTATATGTATTAAACTTATTAATGACTCAATAAACTAGACATTTAATAGCTGCTAAGCATTTTATATAATTATTTTATATAATATTATAAATAAGATAACTTACCGTTATATTTTATTTTATTTCTCAATGTTATAAGTTTAAATTCAACAAGTACTTACTCATTTTTACAGAAAAATAACAATAATAGAAGAATCAAAGAATTGTTTACCTAGGGGCTAGGATTGCCTAAATGTTAAATACATATCGATGCCCCAGTTCAAAACTGCAACAACTCGAGATATAACAAATCCGAGTTATGTAAACCATCTTATGACAATTTCAGTTGAAGAACAAAATAAAATGTAGTTTAATTATTGATCACGAGAGAGCATTTTCAATATTATAATTTACATTAAGTTAAATAGAGATACAATATAAAAACACACATTATACCCAATAAACCAATATTTTGAGTTGTTGCAGTTTTGAACTGGGGCGTCGATATATTACATTTATATAGGTATTAAGAAGTATAATACATTAAATTTGGGAATTAAAATCTACAACTAAACAAATACATTTTTATTAGAAACATATTTTTTATTATAAAGTCTTTAAGATATATAAATTTTAATATAAAAATAATAATTCACATAATATTTCTAATCATGTCTAAATGATCAATTCATGTAGGCGGAACTGAGGGACAGGATTATGAAAAATAAAACTAATACTACTAAAAGAAAAAAATAATTTTATTACTACGCAATAGGTATTTTATTTAACTATAATTGAATACAATAGAATTTTAACAAGTCAATCTCGTGACGATTTAAAATAAAAAATTCTATTTAAATCTACTATATGTTTAACTAATAAATAAATTAAAATGTTATTCATTTTTGATATCTCATAATTATTATTAACTTGATTTTCCTTTATAGGTACCCTTAGTGAAACCTAAGGGTATTTGAAACAATTAAGTATATTTCACTGATGCCTCACAGTATTATTTAAAAATGAATAACATATTAATAAAAATAAACATATAAGATACTTTTAATGTAAAAATCAAATTAGTTGTTATTTGTTTTACAGTATTTAAGAATTTTTTAAATAAATCCCTTAAAACTATATTATGTTAGATAGGTACATTAAATTTATTTTACAAATCTGTACAATGTATATCTCTGTATAGTAGGTTATATCTACAAATGTATTTATTTGAGATTTATTTCATTCCCATGATTATGTCACTAGATGTTTTATATTTTAAAAATACTGACCTAGGTACTGCAAATATTCCTTGAATAATATGCCCATAAATTGATACAATTATTAAAATTAAAATACATTAAGTTAATAGTTGCTATTTAATACAATTCATGGAAAGGCACCTACTAAATAAAATTCTATAAAGTGCATAGGTAGGTACTTGCATTAAATAAACACAATTATTTTAATTTTAATTAATATTTTATGAGTCAGTATTTCTAACATTATATAATGTAGACAATCAAAATTCAAAACATAATATCAATTAATTATTAGCAAATACCTAAAAAGTATCTAAGGATTACCTATGGTATAATACTACAAAAACATGTATTTATTTTAATGAATTTGCAGTAACGGAGGGTAAAATAGGAAATATCAAAACAACAACATAATTTTCATAAATATTATTACATAATACACAAATCAAAATTGTAACAATCATAATATTATAATTGTTCTAATTTATTAAACATACCTATGAGCTGTTTTCCGGTAATACTTTTTTGTAGGGTTTATAAGAATATTAGTGATGCTGGCGCCCACTGTGGAAAAACCGCTGGAAGAGTCTGACGTGCTATCCATGACTACAAAAATGTTGCAAAAACGAAAAAATAATAAAACAAGAATTAATACCGGACGGTTGAAACTTAATCACTCCCAATCGAATAGCCGCAATAACACTGAGTAACTTTTGTTTCGTGTGTATTGCGTTCTACTCAATCGACAACGAATAAAAACTCCGTAGGTACCGTTGAAATTGTCACAAGGAGTAATGAATAATGATGGTAGTATGGAATTCGTTTTAATGTTATACTTTGCAGCCAATAATCGTTTCAGTGATAACAGCTCCAAATGATAACGGTTCGTAGGGAAAATTGTCAACGATGGGAGTGGTCGAAAGATTCATTGAACGATAAATCTTTATATTATACGCATAGGCGCATAGCACACAATATATAATTATTATTACCCATATTATTATAATATTAAAATATAGTAATAATAATACAACCATTAAGTGGCACGATAACGATACGGTCAAATTGCGACGCACTGACGTGATGCATAATATACCTACGCAATACGCCGTACAAAATATATTTTGACATACATATTATACGTTTACAAGACGGCATTAACAAGTTAAAAGTTAAGATACTCACTTTTAACTCAGTTCCATAAAGATTATCAATTTTTTTTAAGGCCCAACGTCTAATTGGACGTTACATTTTTTCTATTATTATGTGCAGTTGCCTATAGATAGGACCATTTAGCCGCAGTGATGGGAAAGAACACGTCCATAAGAAAGTGTTCACTTGAACACGTTCATATTGTGTGAACTTCACATGACGAACTGATTTTCAAGAAATGAACTTGAACGTGAACTAAGTTCTTATTAATTATGATTTTGAACGTTTTGGGTTCGTTCATTGGCAATTTAATTACCATAGAACAGGCGATTTGATAACGTTTTAAAATGTTTTGTAGCCGATCAGGCTCCTTCTCAAGAATCAAAATATATAATATGTTTTTAATTTTGTTTATTTTTAGTTTGGATATTTATTTTTTCCCTGAAATTACGACGCCGTTGATAGCCGACAAGAATAATATGTCATTTACGGTATTGCCGTATTGGTAATTGGTATATTATTATAATTCTGTTGTAACTTGACATAATAAAATAAAGTGTTATAAATAACATTCCCAAGACTAACACGTTCATACAAATTATTTTATGCTGTATACAGAGTGTTCCACAGAATACAGGGTGATTTGAAAAATATAAAACTATTTTTATCACCCAATCAAAATTATTTTTCCTTTATCTTACTAAACATGTGCAATGTACGGTATATTTTATTGTACCATTGTCCATTAATCATTATGAATAAATACTAAATAGTATTAATATAGTATTATAAATATTTTTATATTTATTATTTATAGCATTCTTTTAACTTTTTACATGTAGTTTGTAGTTATAATTCTATTGCACTATACAGACATAAATTGCAATTTTTATTTTTTAAACACATTTTCTTTAGTAACTTTTTATAAGTTTTGATCATTTTAAAAATTATGAACTACTGAACTAGAACTTGAACTAGTTCATTTTAAAAACTATGAACTAGAATTCTAACTAGTTCATATTTAATGTCTTGAACTTGAACTTTAACTAATTCATTTTCAGAAATAACTTTCCCATCACTGCGATTTAGGTAATCAATATTATAGTATTTAGGTACTAATTTTGTCCTCAGTATTTTATACATCACATAATATATTTAAAAAAGGTATATTAATTGTTTTGTACAAATTAAGAAATATTATTTATAAATTATTATAATGCAGTAAAATGTTATAACATGTTGGTATGTGGCTTAAGTAATAAATGATAGAACAAAGTATTGGATGTCCTATTTGTAGATTAAAATGACGTAATAATAAAACGTGTATATATAAAATATAAAAACAACTTAACATGCGTTTCCATCGGAAATTACAATCTCACCCAACACATTAATTTCAAATCTCTTAAGTCTTAACAATAACTCTACCAGAATATCAGATAACCCAATTCGACGTTTAAATAGAGAGGTTGGTGCCGTGATCTCTTAAATAATTATACCTAAACAATTAATAATTTGTTAGTATAGGGTGTTCACTGTTCAATCATTGCCCATTGAATATGGGCGATATGGCCCTTCTTTTCTGTTATTTTTCTCTGACGATTACTCTGATACGTAGGTATTATTTTTACTACATTATATTTGTACTTGTGTGTAGGTACTAGGTATATAATTTTAACAAATTTGCTTATTTTACTTTGGTAGTATTTATAGATTGTAAATAATAATAAATAATCCCATTTAAATTAAATTACTTTTAGAAGTTTAAAAAAAGAAAAGTAACTTTTAGCTTTAAGCTTAACTTAATTTGTAAGTTTTACACTTTTTAACTTGACTAGTTAATTATTTTTGTTTTTAACTTATTAACTTATTCAGTTAAAATGTTTATTGTTATAACTTAACTTTTTATAGTTATTTATCATTGTCGTGCAGTTAAGTTGATTTTCTTTTCGAGTCTGCTGAACCAACAAGACAATACTGATTCGATTACTCTTTTTCGATTTTGGTCATTTTTTTTCTAATTATATATTATAATAATCTAATTTTTTACACAGTATTAAACGCCTTATATTTTTTTTTTTTGGGGGTGGGGGGGTCCGGCCTTTAAGACCATCCCGTAAAACAAATTTCCCTCCACCTTATTCTGTTTTCAGCTATTTCTCTCCAGTTTGTTCTTGGGCCTACTTCTTTTACTTCTCTCTTCACACAGTCTTCCCATCTGAGGTGTGGTCTGCCTAGTGATCTTTTTCCTTTCGGATCCTCTTTAATTACTGTGTTTATCATAGCATCTTTTTTCCTCCAAGCGTGACCTGCCCAGGCCCACATCAGTATTCTTTTTGCAACTTCCCTTGAAATACTGTCCAATCTTATTTCCTTTATCTTTCTTGGAGCCCATGTTTCTGACCCATATAGGATGACAGGACGTATTAATGTCATATATATTTTTATTTTTAAATTTAGAGATATTTATCTAGATTTTAGCAGGGTTCCCAAACCAAAATAGCAGTTGTTAGCCAGTTGTATTCTTTTTTAAATCTCTACTTTTAACTCATTGTCCTGAGTTGAGCGCACACCTAAGTATTTCAATTGTGAAACCCTGTGGAATATATGTCCATCTACATTCATACTTTTTCCGTGTCTATACGTCCTGTCTCTTCTGTTGAGTTTCATATATTCCGTCTTACTATCATTTATTCTGAGGCCGACCTTACCCGCAGCATTCATTAGCTTCTTACAATGTATTTTAACTATTTCAATATTGTCTCCTATGATGGCAATATCGTCGGCATAATATGCTAGCAGGCCTATCTTTGACAATCCTAAGGTTATACCTTCTGATATATTCATAACGCCTTATATATGCTTCTGTAAATCAAAATAAAGGGCGGTTTATGACTTCCAAATATTGTAACTTGAAAAAAAAAATTTTTAACCGAGTTAAGTTTATTTTATTTTCTATCTCAACTTTAAACTTATCTAGTTTTTTTTTTTTGTTAACTTTTAACTTAACTGAAAGTAATGTAATTTAATTAGCTTAACTTGCCACAGTTTATTTTAAATTAACTTACCCACCTTTGGACTACCTATAGGTATTCCTGCATATAGGTGTACACAAATCACAGTCATCGGACATTCGAACGATTAATCACGTTTTACCTTTTTCGTTGATCTATTGAGCACACTTAAAATATCACAAAAAACTAATCACAAACCCAAAAACCTAAAAATATGGTTGAGCACCAAATTATGTAATACTACTGAAATCACTAGGGTGTAAATTAGTACCCTGAACTCGGGCACCGTTATATATACGGCTTATACTTAACTAATACCTAGTTACCCTACACTGCTACACCTAGAATCTATATTTTAATAGTGGATAACTACCTGGCTACCTACTTGATTAATTCGTTTTTATATATAGGCTTCTACTTTCAGTTTATAAGAAGGCAAATAATTTATTCAGATTGCAGGATGATATTAAAGTGATGATTATTGAGTGATGGCATTCATTACTTTAAAAGATAGGAACATATTATAATGAATTTGAAAATGTAAGTTATGTGCAATTTATTCAAATTATTTTATATTGTTTTTATTTTTTTAATACTCATGCTTGTCAATTAATCTATATACCTACCTATATATTATTAGCTCATGATTTTTTAATCGCAACACAATAGTAGCTACGCATTATAATATAAAATAGCAAAAGCACGAATACTATTTTTAAAATGTTGTACAACAATTTTTTTTTTAATAAATAACCATTTCAAAGTCACATGATCCCATACTCTTATCGGAGTTATCCCTATGTCCTGCAAAATTGTTGAAAAAATGTCCTCCTATTCAGTGCCCTAAAAACCGGGTGTGCAGAGTGTGCAGAGTGAGCACCACACACAGGCCTCGGGCCTCATAATATATCGAAGGCCCTCAAAAGATCTAAAGACTAATATTAAACTAATATAAAATTATTAAAATATATAAATTATTCATTATTACCAAATCAATTACTACGGCGTTTATATGATGGCGTCAAAACGGTTTAAACTCAAACCGTTTTGAAAGTTAAAACGCTAGCGCTCAGGGCCGGACTTGCCCAGTGGTCTACTGTCCTACAGGACAATAGGCCGCTGTCTTTGGCTGGGTTTTGGGCCGGTGCCTATTGTTAGTACAATAATATCGGTAGGTACATAAGTAAATATTAAAAGTAAATTTTTTCAAAGGCAGATGAAAAATATTAAAAATCCTTAGTCACAGTTATTTTTTATAAGCATTTAAAGTTCAAAAATTGACCAAATATGGAAAAATCACGAAAATTGGCAAATTATTTTGAGTTAAGAATTCGTAAAAATTTTCCTTTTTAAATCTTAGATTTTAAAATGTAATACAAGATTCCTTATAAAATTATCTACCTTTACCGAAAAAAAATGCCCATAAGAAAGTCAAATT